CCCCAAAACCCCAAAACCCCAAAACCCCAAAACCCCTCTTTCGGGTTCAATAATTGAAAATTTATACTGAAGGCAGCTGCATTTTTATCTCAACTTTTGTTTTAGTAGCATTGACCACAAATTTCGGAGGAGATCTTTTGCAAAATGGCTGCTTCACAGGAGTGATTTCGATTGGATCTTTTTCTACAGAATGAGTCACCTAAAGCAATACCTTTATCTTGCTGCTGATGCCGTATATCCTTCTTGTATCTTTCAAATTTCGCTAAGAATAAATAAACTAGAAGTAGAGAAATGGAGGAAAGAGGAAACTTACTAAAGAGATTAACCGAATTCCTCATGTTCATAAAAGGTCTTTGGAATTTCTTCTTTGATGACATAAAAGCGGCTACGTTTGATGCCTCAAAGATTCCTAAAATGATTGTCAGACATGGTAAAAGAAGAGATTATGATGAAAACCTACTTTTGACAACATATGTATTCTCGAGACCAAGATCTTTCTTTTCAGAGGAATTTTGTGGCAATAATGGCTTCTGAGTCGATTTTGTAGCTAAATATTTAAAGTAAAAATTACACTTTAGAGCAGGCATTGAAGGTAAAATTCAGTTATTTGAGATATTTCGGCTAGTCAACACTAGTTGGGAGCTGCCATTAGGTGTGATATTAGCTTTAGAGCTAGATACTTTTAAACTTTTAGGAGTAATTTTTGTTGTTGAAGTAGCTCAAGAATTTCTCTTTCACTGCTTCTTATCGTAACTATTAAGGTCTATTTGTAGTCTCTTCTTGTTTTTAAATGCACTCCTAATTTAAATAGATAAGATAAATTACCCTAAATCATCATTTTTGCCATCTTGAACTTTTACAGGTGAATTAGCACCATCAGCATCAGTAGGATTTCTAAAATAATTCAAGAAATTACTTTTCAAAGAATTTGGCGGTCGGATTATTGGGAGAGAATATGATCTTGAGGGGTTGTTCGCCATGCTCTGATCGTCTAGCTCCGATTCTAAGATTCTTAAGCTTCTTGCTTCTCTTTCTTTGAAATTCTCTGTAAGAAAGTTCTACTTGTCAAAAATAAATAGCTACTTTTCTTTTCATTGTCATCTTGTAAATTAAGTTCTTGTTTTAACTGAGATATCAGCTTAGCAATGTTCTCTGATTGCTTAAACTTTTTCTCAAATTCTACATCCCTTATTTTGAAATGGGATGCATTTTGGAGAGGCTTCTCCAAACTTTCTCCTCCTAAAAATCTTGGATTTACCTTTTCATCCAAAAGTGATCTCTGGACGCTATGGCTTCCTCTAGCTTTGAATTCCTCTACTCTTTGTACAGAGAGTTTACTTCAATTTTTTTAGTTTTCTGAAAGACATCTCTGTGACGAAATCGGGGTCGAATACTACACTAGCACTGCTTAATTGGGAGTTGAGGCCATTCTCATTATGTCTCATTCCTAGTATATAATCTAAGATTTACTTCGAATTCTCTGTCTGAGCATCTTGTCAACTTTGGACTTCTTCCCTTCTTGCATTTTTACCTTCCCTAAAGGTTACCCAAAGATTACTATTTTTCAGAAATTGCAATATTTGTATTCTGGAGAGGTTCAAATTTCACCCCTTTTATATACTCTGTTCAGAAGGAGTATCTATAGAAATTTAAATATGAATTATTCATCCCTACAGTTGTGTTTGGTCTCTGGTTTAAGCACTCTTTGCAGATGGTCATTCTGGAATTTTAGAATGTACCCCACACTGGAATTAGTTCCCATTGCGCTATGGGATCTTATAAAATAGAGTACCTATCTTTTAGGTCTGGTTTACTATTGAAATTTTCCAAAATCTCTGATTGCTACATTAATGGTAAAATCACTGGCTGGATATGGACTTACTATTTCCTTCAATGGTTTGCTCTTAATCATTTTGTAAACTGATTTCTTAGATATGCTGTTTCTCTTCGAGTCTATTAAAAATTGTTAATAGCTTAAAGCTTACGATTATGAAATTTCTTATGTTTACTGTTTTTCATGACTTTTATTATTATTCTACATAAAATTCTTAATGTGGGGTTTTGGGGTTTTGGGGTTTTGGGG